CTATATAAAATGTATAATTTAAATGGTAAGATTTGGTCAATTGTAGTTTACTTTTGTTCACCAGAAAGTTCTGTTTAACGAACTTGATAATAATAAAATAGAAACTAAGGCATATTGATTGTTCTGTTCGTTTATGGTGTTATATTTGTGCTTCTTTGTAGTACTGGTATTATGTAGGGAGGGGTCGTTTAACTAAAATCATTTTATAATAAACATTATTATTGTTGAAAGTCATAACATATATTTAAAGCCATAAACTCTTCCTAAAGCATACTAATAAATAAATATATTTAAAAAGCTTAGTTACTTGGCATAAATAAATATCACAACAAATATCATGGAAATAATGCCTTTATGATTAAAACTTTCCCTACTCATGGGGTCACCAAGTATCATAATTGTAATGAAATAAAAACATGTTCCAGACAAGTGTAATAAATTGGTCTCTTCCCTTATTTAAAGATTTGTTTCTAGTACTTAATGCCAATTTGCATTTGGGAGTATATTTCCCAGACTTTGTGTCGCACTTGTTGTAGAAAAGGAGACATTTTTATTTCTTTCAAGTGGATGTTGTTGAGTTTTAAAGTGTTGCTTAAAATTGTTTATAGTTTATTATTGTTTGATGAATTAATGATAATAATTCATCACTTCTATCATTCAATTTTATGCCAGCCATTGATGTGTATAATATATATTAAATTTCAGCTATCATGTCTGCATTCTCTGTGACCAAACCGAGTTCATACACCACGATAAACGGAATCAATAAACTAACCTTTTCAAGTACCATTTACCAGTTTGGATATCATTTTAGTACCTCAACTGGAACTTACACATGTAGATTACCTGGTGTGTACCACTTTTCTGTCACATTAGTGAAGAAACGGGCATCATCAAGGGTTGATCGAGTTTATTGTAAACTTTATAAGAATAGGCAATCTCTGATTTACATAGAAGTCGATCCAACTGACGATTCAACTGACAACGGTCATGCTGCTATATCACAGTCTATCGTGATAAATCTTAACGTTGGAGACACTGTGTACCTTACTGAATGTAACGGTTCACCAAGCACATACATGGAACATTGGACTTCCTTTACAGGATTCCTTCTATATCATAACAATTAAACATTATATTCAATATGTGGTGGCAAAAGAAAATGTTGAAATTGCTTTTGTTATCACGCTGTTCACTAACTGTCATTTCACCTTAATTAGTCTCACTTATGATAATACCAGCTAACAGCTAGTATAGATAAACAATTATTGCTGAATATTATGTCTAGAACAGTTTATTATTTGCTACATAAAACATGGATCATGTATCTCACTCTTATCTTATCAACAATATACATATTTACTTCTTCACTGATTCGTTGTCATGTATTATCCTTAATAATACCATTATCATTGTCTATGGTGTGATATACTTCTAAATAAAGCATGTTTTAAGTGTTTAGACGAGAACAAGGCGTTGTTAAGTACATACGATATCAATACTTTTCTGTCTTGTGCACACTAGACTCATTGTCTCCTTTTTTAAAAAATTTGTATTATTTTCCTTCATATAGCACTTGTACTTGATTACTAACAAAACATCACGAGACATAATTACCATTTCCGGGGTTATTCATGTCACCATTTTCTAATGGCGTATATAACAGTCATAACAATAACTAAACTTTTTAAATAAATGTTACAAATACAAAGTTCATTTTTATGATAAACAACACCAACTATCAATTTGTTATAAGTCATTTGTGTCTGACAGAAAAAGACACAACCATTTTGAAAATGAAACGGCATCAAGATGAGAAAGTAGTTATGGGTAGTTTCTTTATACATAATACAATGATACCTGCATTTACAATTTGAAGCAGTTAAAATCAAACAGTAGATATAAATATTTATCGACTGCAACTTAGATAAATATTCAAGTGTTTAATGTTTCGGATCTCTTAACCATTAGATATTTTTAAAAATGCACGTTTAAACTACTAGATATCACTATCATAAAACAATAGAAGTAATTAATAACTACAGATGCATTAGTTTTATTACCCTACCATTAAATCACATTAATACGTAGCCCTATTCTATTTTTGAAGATTTTATGATCTGACCAATCTTAAATTCTTAATCCTCAATTTACTTTATGTAAGTATTAGTAAAGTTAAAATACAAAACTTTTTAGCGCATGTATAAAACATCAAAGATAAAATCATACAAGCACAAACGGTCCACTTTCTTAGAATGAAGTCGTAAATGTAGCAAAAACTAATCATGACTAGTTGGATATTGCAGACTGATCGTAATAGTCACACACGAATATTTCAGCATAACAAATTAAATGTTCAACGAAATTTTGATAATCTAAGGTAAGAAATTAATAACCATGAATGAATGACGTATTACTAAGTTTGGAACCGTAATCTAGCGTTTGACAATTGTCAAAAAGGAATAAAAAAGTTGGATTTTTTATATAAGTGATCATTAGCTGAAGTTTATAAACTGCCATTTTTGTTCAATATCTTGAGCACGATTCTCAATTATTTCAAGTATTTATATAAATTTAACAATGTTCATATATAAACATTTTAAAATATTTTTAGTAAGATACAATCAAAATATTCTCTAAATGAATTTTAGCGGAAAACATATGTTTGTCGGAGATACAGTAAAGTGATTATATATAGACATGATGGTTTATTGTGTTATAGCCTTTTCTTAGTTTCCCATTCGTCGTGAATGTGTTTTAAGAATTTGCTTTAACTTTAGAGAATTTTAAAACTGCACCTTGTTCTTGTGGAACCTGGCTTCGGGACGATTTATGAATCGATAAAGCTGGGCCAAAATAAGACTTTCAGGTTCTACATTAACGATATTTTATGAAAAACGAAAACAAAGTTCAACCAGGCAAAGGCAACTTTCATACGACGCAGCCTCCGACAAAACCCAGACACAACTGCGGACGCCAAGGGCGGCGAAAGGAGGGGAGTGACATGTTATAAGTTAAATGATAAGAACTAAAAGGGAAATGAAATTTGCATTGGGTATTGTTGTATTGGGGAAAGTTTACAGAGTAGTCAATGTTGAAGAGGAAAATGTTCAAGTATATAATTATATATATGATAATGAACCGTTTAAATAAATCAGGACACGCCGATAAGCTGAAAACATCTCGGTTTGCCTATTTTTATATTTGGTACAAAAATGTTCGAAAAATTATCATCCTAATTCTTATTTACCAAGATGTATGAAAGACACAATTCGTTCCAATTACACAGTTATTTTGTGCATACTGGTATTATGTATAAAGTACTGTCTGTCTGTCTTTAGAAAGACAAACATTCGGTAATACAGCTTTGTTTTGTGGTTTCTAAAGTCCTTACATATCGTTAGATAAACAAATTTAGCTAAAAATTCTTTAAATTAAGAAATAACTTAGGCTCAATTGTGAATACGGCCCATGATTTCAACAGCAGAAAATTAGGTGAAGCCGTATTCCTTGATCTTAGAAAGGCCTTATAAAACTCCAAATACCAACATCTACATCAAAGGAATGTCGATACTGACCTTCTCAAGTACAATTTACTAATATTGTACCTAAACAAGAACTAAAACCTGTGACAAACCCGGCGCGTACCATTTTTCTGCAATAAAGGTAAAGAAACGATCATTTTCAAGTCTTGATCTTGTATTCTTGTTCCCTTTACAAGAAAAGACAGGATCTGATTAGCATTTCAGATGATCCAACCGACGATGATGCTGACAAAGGAAATGACGCTATCTTTCAGTCTAACGAGAAAAAGCTTGATGTTGGGGACACTGTGTACCTTTTTGGGTGCGGCAATCAAAGAACGCACGTGGACTTTTGGTCTTCTATAACCGGATTCCTACTGTATCAATACAATTAACTTTTTAGAAACTTTTAACTATGTTAATTTCAACTAAGCATTTCAACTTGCACAGGGTTTTTCTATGACGAAGTTAGCAAATCGTTCATATCTGAACTATTTTGTGCGCTAAAAGCTGTTACAATTATCATTTATGATTATCTTGTCTTTAATTTCTGCTCAATTACAGAGATAAAACAAGTCAAGCCGTATACCTAATGTCTTTCTTGTAACATAATGATTAATAAATCTATATTTACAAGCATATGTGTAAGTAAATTCCCGTTACCATACAGCAAAAATATTTTTGAAGATAGTATTTACATAGTGTCCAGATAATTTGAATAAATATTGGTTGACATTTTGCACTAAGAAAGCTATAAAACTAACTTGCGAAATTTACGAAACGTCGATGGTTTTTCTCAGGTATCCGCTCGTGCCAAAAATAATGTCGGTATTGAAGCGTTTTCGCTTACTCCAAAAGACAATTCCACTTTGTGATAGAAACTTCTGAAAATAAAATATGTATAATTTGTTTTGAGACAGTAAAATAGTAAAGCGAATAATCTGAATCCAAAAAAAACGTCAATAACGACAAATTTGAAAATGTTGTAGGCTCGTTTTGATGAAGGCTAATGATGGATGGTACTTAAAAGTGCATTCGTGTCATTCCATAAAAAGTGGCGTATGACCCTTAATTTAATGAAAGCGTGTGCCTAAAATGTTAAAACAATGGGCAGAACTAAAGAAAATGGAATTTTGAAAGGAGATCAGAGGTCATGAATCATGCATACCAAAAAAAAAGACGTATAAAGACAAGCCATATCTTAAGTGTGATACCAAAACGATGATGAATTATCATAAGTCTGACAGGATATACATCAGTGACGTTCATTTTTCATATTAATGTGAATGTAACTGACAACAGCAGTATTTAATATATTTGTACATATAGTGATGACACTTTAAATTTACATAACTAGGTCTGTCAATTTAATACCCTTCCAGTTAAAAAGGCATATTTTCAACTCCTAAATATAGCATTTCGTACTTATATAAGACGTCGTGAATAACATTGAAATTCAATAACATAACATTAAAGTCTAGTGGTATAAATTAAGCAACCTTTGTTTCTTACTTACCTTTGCAGTAGAAATTATCAGTATTATGTATCTACAATGCCTTTTACTCTACTTTTTGTTGCGTGTGAGTCCAATATTGAAAGAAAAAAGAACTTTCAAAGTGAGACATGGCATAACTTAATATTTCATTCAAACATTTTAAATTATCTTTTTTAAGCGTAACAACGATCACTTAATTTAAAAAACAGTGTGACTGTTGATCATTGAAAATGTAAGATAAATAACATTAAGATATTTTCAAAAAGCATGTAGATAAATAAGACCGTCGGCATTTATAGTTAAGAATTCTTTACTACACAGTCGACTCCGCTCATAACAAACACAATAGGACATTTAAATATCCTTTGTTATATCCAAATTTCGCTTAAAGCGAAAAGTGTAAATTTGCCATGAAAAAACCATTATACCTGTTACTGTTTACCGGTATAAACGGTATTTTACGACAGCGGTAATTTAATGCGTGGCATTTTATGGAAATATATTTTATGTACATGGTACATGTATTTAAACATGTAGAACTTGTCTATAAAGTGCTTACCATTTGTATTATTTTGATATTTGTTTGTAATTATTTGGTTAATATAACAAACAAAAACCGATTATTTGATAAATTTCGGGTATTTACAGCAATTTATCAACTAAGGGTGCGAAATACAAATTTTCCTTAACAATAGGAAATAATTTTGTGGGACCATTTTATCAAAATCTTTATTCCCTGAAGCCATGGCTTACCTGTTCAATTACGCAATCACTCGATTGAATAATTATCGGATATCGGTATTCATGTACTGATCTTAATCGAGCGCATCCCGATATGTCAATAATAACAGTTTGTTTAAACCGATGTGTTTTGCCGTTTGGGGCTTAAAAAATGGTTCGCTATAACCGAACATTCGTTTTAAGCGAGTACGTATTAAAAGATGAGATTTAATGTAACTTGACGACGGAATCGGCTGGGGAAATCAGATTTAGTTTGCTATTAACGATAATTCGTTTTAAGCAAGCTCGTTGTCAGTGAAATCGACTGTATTTCGATGGTACTTTCTCAACTAGTTAGTTCTTACATGTATATAAGGCCCATTAATCATTATTTTTGTTATCCTGTAACAATTTCAATTAAATTCCTCTTTTGCTATATGCCATTCTTTTGCGATTTGTCAATTTCTACAATTGTAGTGATTTAATCTTTCTATGGAAGTCAAAATACATTTTTATTTACACTTTGCTGCCCTTATCAGAAATTATTTCACAATCAATGCTATTCGTATAGGATATCGACCGAGTACGAGGTCTTTCTGTTTAGGAAAGACCTGGTCACGAATTTCATGTGACACCGAGAGCGCGTAGCGCTCGAGGTGTTTCATGAAATTCGTGACCAAGTCATTCCTAAACAGAAAGATCGATGTACGAGGCCGATATCCAACTTACACACCGTTAAACTATTGGCTTAACCAATGGCTAATGCACGAAAATTATATTTCACACAGTGCATATATAGGTAAGCTTTTATCAACGTTCTGCTTAAATATAATATATATATTTTTGCATTTAACTCCGCTTTTCTCTTTAAAATAATAATCTAAAAAGCTAAATGTGCAATTTGTCAAAAATAAAGTGAATTGGTGTGTAATGTATGTTAAAGAATGAATAATTATGTTGATAGTATTTCGTATCAGACATAGCACATTGTAGGACAGTTGCCTCCCGGACAGTTGCCATCCTCGGACGTTTGTCCCGTTGTTTTTGACTTGTCATCTCGTGTATTAATTTTATATTTGTTATTTAACAATGCAAACGATATATTTATTTATGGATGCTTTTTGGTTTTCACAAATTTGCGTGTGAGTTTTTGTGTATTTAAGCACAATGGAATTTCGACTATTTGACAGTAGGCGATGAATTTCGGTAACAAACAATTCAACAATTAAATATTTTAACATTTTTAAAACAGGGGGAGGCAAATGTCCGCCAATTTCAAATACATGAGGAGTAAAATGTCCGCCACTGCAAAAAGGGGGGAAACTTTCGAGGGGCAACTGTTTGAGAGGCAAATGTCCAGCAGACCACAAAAGACTTACATATATATTGTTATACATGATCCAAAACGATATTTTATATAGCAGATTATAAAGTGTTCTAGAATAAAATATGATCGTTCATCATATGAATTTTTATACTAAATCACTCATAATTTCATTAACATTTCTTTTTCAAGATTTTTTAATAATATCCGAACAATACATTTCTATCGTTATTTATTGATATTTGAAATGTGCCCATTGTAGACCAAGCCACTTTAAGTACTTGTATATGCATGTCCTAACTTTGATGTGCTATACATTATTTTTATTCAAAGATTTAATAAAGGGATGTTGGAATAATTGCTAAGTGTACTCAATAAACATTATCTTGTTTAAAAATGTATCCAGATTATTTAAGTCAGGAATATTATGACAATCATTTACATTTTATTTTCATTTTTAATGTTTGATTGCATTTCATGTTTTCTTTGTCTGCGCGTAGGTAGGTCTATTTTTTCACGTGATTTTCATGACTGGGTCTGTCTGACTAGAACAGACCTGTGCACGTGCAAAAGATAGACCTCATAACGGACTTTCTTTTGTTTAAACAGGTCTATCCGAAAAATATAGACCTGTCACAAACAATAGAGGAGGTGTGTAATACTGGTTATAAGCCATTCACATGTTAATATAACATTATAAAACACATGTTTGTTCTTTACCATAGATGGAAAACAAATTGGGGCTTAATTGTGCCTTTAAAGCAGTCTAACATATCAAATTAAAAAGCATAAGGAAGTAATACATGCCTTGAATCTTTCTTATGGCATATTTCGTAACTAGGCTTTTATCTGTAAGATTATTTATTTTGTGAAAATTAAATAACAGTTTTAACTGTCACATCAAAACGGAAGCGTTATGTCTGTACGTCCATTGATTGTAAATTAGCGAAGGTGATATTCAAATCTTAAGTTCCATGAAAATGGATCAGGATGCTATTGATTCTGATATTACTGAACCCAGTTTATGGAAGGATACTCTTGCATATGAAAACACCGCAATCGTCTCCAAAAGACAAACCGGATCCAGGGCACAAACTGTTGACGATTCGCCTTATGAAACACTTAAATTAGAAGATTTAAATAAACCTAAAGTTGAAACCAGAATTCAGGAAAATAACTTGAAGCGACTCAAATGTGTGATATATATCATGACAGGGCTGATAATTGTTCTGTACATTACATTAATCTCTTTGATTATAATTCTATTTGTGCCGAAGCATTCAGGTATGTAATTGTTTCTGTTTGTTTTCTTTGTGTTTTTTGTTTGTTTGGTTTTGTGTGTGTGCTTGTTTTTGTTTTTTTTTTGTGTGTTTTTTTTTGTTTCTTTTTATTTATTTATTTTCATTTTTTTTGTTTGTTTTTTTTTTGTTCTTGTTTATTTTAACTTAATTCATGAAATTAAAAAAATTGTGCATATTAATGATTATATGTTCATATTAAAATGAAATAAAATGAATTTTTTGTTTACTTAAAAACATAGCTCTATTCATTTGAATATCTTTAGATCTATACACATTTTTTTTTTTTCAAAAATCAAGTTGATGGTCATTGGACAGATTGGTCAAGTTGGACATCTTGTGACGTAACATGTGGTAACGGAACGCACATACGGACAAGAACATGTACAAATCCAATGCCTTCGAGTAAGGGAAGTTACTGTTTTGGAGAAAGTGTTCAGAGCAGTGAATGCTTAAAAGACAACTGTCCAGGTAGTGTGTCTAAAGTGTAATAGAAAATATCTTAATTTCAAGACATCAGAAGATGTCTTTTATTGTTTAAATTCACGTTTTAATGGAAAGTTTGAAAAGAAATTTATTGATTTATTGTTATATCACATTTACACATCCGAAATTGTTTGGCTTCAAAATCTTAAAAAAAATGTATTCAAATAATTTGCTAAAACATTTGAGTTTAGCGTTGCAAAACCCTAAACTGACTACCATCTTGAACATTATTGGGCAATGGCTTTTCATTAAGTAAATGCATGTGTAAAATACCTAGTCTCCTATATATATGCCCCATCAATACATTTATAAAATCGTTTCACTTTATAATGCATACCAGATTGTTTTACGTATATCACATAATGGCATATACCGCGGAAAAATCAAATCCTATATTGTTAAAGGCATTTTCCTTAGCATTATTATATCCTATATAGAATTTATCTTAAAATATAATTTACGAAGATTGATCAAAAGGTTCTCGGTCCGATGTACTTTAGGTAGTCAGAGAACCCAACTAATGGTCATACTTTTCAATATAATAGCTTTCTACATCAATGCACTTTGTCCACCTGTGTTCAAACTTGTTTAATCCTTCAAATACAACTCTACTCTGGTCCTCAAAGAACTCATTGACCGCCTCTATGACACCTTAATTGCTTCCAAGACGTCTACCACGAAGCTTGGTTTTCAGTTTCGGAAACAGATAGAAGTCAGAGAGGGCCAAGTCCGGAGAATATGGAAGATGGGGAAGAATTTCAAAGCCGCAATCAAATGCAGCAGCCATCGCAACTTGGAATGTGTGAGCTGGTGCATTGTCGTGCAGAAGCAGAATTACTTGAGTCAGTTGCCCCTCCTTTTACGCGCGATTTTTTGACGCAGACGTCTCAATTCGTCTGGATAGTACGTACCGTTAATAGTACGACCTTACTCAAGATGGTCAATCATGATTATGCCCTGACTATCCCCAAAAAAGTGAATCCATCATCTTCCCTGCTGATAGCACTATCTTGAATTTCGCCGGACGTGGTGAGTCTGCGTGCTTCCATTGCATGCTCTGATTTTTTTATTCTTGATCGAAGTGATGAACCCATGTTTCATCCTGAATTACGATACAGTATTCATGTTCATCCTCGTAGCGAGACGAAAGATATCTTGAAATGTCAAGCATGGCTAGTTTTTGGTCGTCAGTCAACTATCTGGGAACCCACTTGGCAGAACCTCTGACATGCCATAGACATCAGTCAAAATTGCTTGAACTGAATCAAAGGTCATACCCATTTCCCTAGCGATGCTTTGCAGGTCTCGCCTTTTGTCGAATATGACCAGATTGTGCTCAGTTTCGGCAGTTTCATCGTCGGTGGCCTTTTGTGGCCGCCAAGGCTGATTATCAACTCTATTGCTTTCCCTGCCCCTCCTAAATTCAGCAGCCCATTTTGTTCACAATGCTGTAGGAAGGGGACTCCATCCTTAGTGTATCCATGAAGTCTTCATGGAATTCCTTGGGGACATCCGTATCTTACAGAGGTACTTAATGACTGCTCTTATTTCAACTTTCTCCATTTGGTCTAAATGACACACCCCTCTACTGATCAAAGTATGTTTTATGTTACTTAATTGGTGTAAAACCGCGTGTACTTCGGTTAGTAATCTTAAATTAGATATCGGTATCGACGTATCATGAGTAAATGTCAGTGCAGTGGCTAAAAGTATATCAGACCAAGAACTATTTGATCATACCTCGTATATATAAAAGCATATTTTCCTGCGCATCGGTCGAAAGTTCCGCTATTGTACACTTGCTTATGTAACTTTGTGTATTTAATTCGCTGCTAACAGCATAAATTATTTCTTGAGAACTTGCACAAATTGAGTTCCAGCAAATAGTGAAATCGATTGTATTGGAGAAGCGTTACAAACCGTTGAATGCTCAAAAGACAGTTGTCCAGGTACTTCTAATGCTAGAACAATCTTCAAAAAAATGGCGAAAAACCTGAATGAATTTGATTTTTAGTTCAACCTGAACAAAATATTTCATTATATCCTCTTACACAAAGGCATCTATGATTTTTTAAAATCAAACGTGTTTTTTCTTTGAGGCTCTTTAATAGCAAAATGAGTGACAATTGTTCAACCGTTCTCGAAACACTCTGTGGTTGCTCTACTCCATCACTTTCAGGACCTACGTGCTCTTTACAAAAGCGTTCGTGCTTCTGAAATACTAAAATACGAGAAACATAAATTTAGTAACACTTCTGCATCTTCTTAAACGTCTGTTTAGATGAATATCTAAGGTTTGTACAAAATCAAGTGTTTTAGCGCTTATGTCTCTTAAGGAGGATAGGACAGTTTGAGTAACTACTACATGTACTAGTTATAAAGTAATCTGCATTTCATGCAGTTTGAATAATAGACATATATGAAAATAGTTATAAGTTTGTTAATTGTATTGTTAATTTACAGTCGATGGTCGATGGGCACATTGGTCAAACTGGTCTTCATGTGACGTAACATGTGGTAAAGGACGGCAACTACGAATAAGAACATGTACGAATCCAATGCCCGAGAATAAAGGAAGAGATTGTATTGGGGAAACTTTACAGAGTAGTAAATGCTCAAGAGGAAACTGTTCAAGTATGTAATTTCATATCAGATAATAAACCGTTTTAAAAAATCAGGACACGACGATAACCTGAAAACAGCTCGGGTTTGCCTATTTTTAAATCTGGTGCTAAGGAGGTTCAGAAAATTATCATTCTATTTCTAATTTACCAAGATATATGAACGACATATTGTCGTGCCAATTACACAGTTATTTTGTGAATACCAGTTTCACATATAAAGTACTGTCCGTCTTTTAAAAAAGAACATTTGGTTTATACAGCATTAACAATACTAATCTATGCCTGGTTAACTGGTGTCAACTCCCGAAATTTAGTTGGACCCTTATTTCTTGATCTTAGAAGGGTCTTATACTTTGTTGACCATGAAATCCATTTGCATAAATTAAAACATTACCATCCCTCTGAAAAATCTATTAACAAAATTGGTGTTGGGAGATTACAATCTAAAATGCTCATAATAAAGCCAAGTGTTCCTGAATGCTTCATATTAGGACACTTATTATTTTACCATACTTTTATAATATAGCGTTTTTCTGTCAAGACGTAAACGTAGATTTATCAGCTGACGAAACTACTCTTCCAAATTATTAGATATTCAAATGAAATTACTTCTGAATCTTCATCTATCATAAACTGGCATGCACAAAACAACATTTTTCTCCATCCTGAGACAACCACTCATGATTACTGGATCTAGGCGAAAGTTAGAAGCAGGTCAGGACACACAATACTATCAGAAAATGTTATTGTACAGGAGGTATTAGATGTCTGTATTGGCAATACGTTTATTGGCACCTCTAATATTGTGATTTTCTTACTTAAGCATGATGATGTGGAATAGTTTAGTGTAAAATCAAGTACCTCACTACAGTCCTTCAAATATAAATGTTGATTTTATTGCGGTTACTGCTTACAAATGTTTTATCATTTAAAAACATTTGAATCTAAAGCAGTGAAGGCAGGTGATTAAAGTGTGTCACCTGGATCACACGCCTCCATAGTCCCTTTTCTTTATATACAATTTCTAATGTCAAGTTTGTATAAGGTAAGTCAATATCTATTTCACGCGTTTCGTTAGTAAAGCGTGAAATATTTGTCTATTCGTAACGTGTATAGTTTGTAATGTAAAGTATTGGTCAGTACTTGTGCACTAGTTTTACGTGCTTGATAGTGTAGTATTTAAAGGTTTATGTGTATGAAATATTCATTCTACCAGACGATTCAGTACAAGCAACATTTTCTAGTAAAGATAATAGAGTGGAAATATATATATATATGCACATAATGTTTTTTAATTGTCGTAAAACATTAGCTGAAAATGTAAAAGTAAAAATCAGACTTTATACATATATGTACATCAATCGTTATTGTACAAGTTAAAATCAGATTTTATGCATGTATCAATTGTTATTATATAATCATTAAGAAACATCTTTTTTCTTTTTTGAAAATTTGTAGTAGGGTTTTGATAATATTTTAGAAAATTATGTTTTTTTGAAGACAAAATAAATATGAGTATAATTTTTCTTTTATATATGTATTGGCTATAAGCGCTTATAATTATGATGCTATAAGGTTGTTGAATTTAACTGTTTTATATTATTCATACGTAAAGATGTTTACAATAATAATTAGATAAATCTATTTATGGTTTTCAATGGCAAGATTTGTCATAATGAATATTGAATTAGCGATGTTCATAACTTTATATCCACAAGGAATGAGGCCCGACATTCAAGCGATCTGACATTTGACAAACGGGCACATGTTTTTCAGAGAAATTTCATTTATTTTTAATGTTTTTCATCTCTGTTGTTTTCCTGGGCGAGTCAGTTCGCATACTTAATATTTCTGTCTTTCCTTTCCGGCGTAATTAATTTTCAAAACAGTTATACACAGACTAGTCCTTGTGTTTTTTCTCTTTTATTTTTAAGAAAAGAAACGTATACATTTACTTGAGATCTCGTGGATATTTGGTTATATTATTTTTTGCAATATCAAAGCTGCTTAGCTTCATTAACTGCTGTTGAATTTGTTCCTCTCTGCAAAATAAATCGCACGTCTGGTATTGCATTTATGTTTTTGTTATTTCTTTAAACGAATGATAGTGAAGAAAAGACTGTTCTATCCAGCTAGCTAACGGAACGTCGGTGGTTCTACTCAGGTACCCGTTCGTGCCTGAAATAATGCACGGAAGGGCACCTGAGTTCTTCCTCCACCAGTAAAGCTGGAACGTCGCGATATGGCATATACTGTGTCGATGTGACGTAAAACCAAAAACAAACAAACAAGTCAATATTGTCAAAATATGTATGTGTGTTATATATTTCAGCATTCATGTCTGCATTCTCGGTGAAATTTCCAAAAACCTACAGTAATATCAATGGAATTTACAAACTGACCTTTTACAGTACAATTTACCAATATGGTAATGATTTTAATATCTCAACAGGAACGTACACCTGTAGCAAACCTGGTGTTTACCATTTTTCTGCAACATTGGTGAAGAAGCGGTCAGTATCAATGGTTGATCTTGTTTATTGTCATCTTTACAAGAATAATCAATCTCTAATCTATGTAAAAACTGATCCAACTGATGATGACACAGACAAAGGAAATGCTGCTGTATCCCAGTCTATCGTGATTAATCTTAACGTTGGGGACACTGTGTACCTAACTAGATGCAGCAATGCAAGCACAAGTATGGAGAAGTGGTCGTCGTTTACTGGATTTCTTCTATATGACAATAATTAAAATCGGTGTTAGTCCAGAAAAGAGTGTTCTTTACCCTATTATGCATATTTTCAATACGCATTGTTTAGAACATAACAATATTTGTTAGTGGTTGTGAAAAATTAGATATTTAGCGGCACTGTTACTAAATAGTGACTTCATCTTGTTATGAAACTAAAGCCGCACGACACAATTATGGAGATATTTAGTAAATTAAGTAATAATAACTTAATGCGTAATAACTCTTAAAGTAGACTTTAAAAGGCTTACTGACAGTACTGGTTATAACAATTTTGTCTGAAGCTCTGTTTTGCTAAATGCAATATAATCAGAAAAAGAGGAAAACTTTCAACTAATTCAAGAGTATATTGTTGTCATTTGATGGGCTGATGCTAAGTTCTCAATATAATTGTATTTGTCGTAATGTTATTGAAAAACATGTGTATTTATCAAATCTATAGATTCGAGAACAAAACTTAGATTTCAATCTCAGTAAATATACTACTCATATTAATTACCATCAAATGATAACGGAGTTCTGAATCTACATCTATGCTCGAATATCGTATTGATATAAGGTTTTCTATTTGAATTTATCCTTTACTTTTTTTTCCTCTGAAATGTATATCTTATAGTTATATTTAATTATGTTATCATCCACATATTGCACCTGTTTCTTTTTAAGTTTCCGTCATTGTTGTCAATTCGTATAATCTCAGTGATCGTGTGCACCAACGAAATCAGCTGCTATTTTTGTCATAGCACTGTCACTATAACCGCAACGCAGGGTTATGAAAGTAACACAGGAAATGGGAAATAATAACTCCGAATCTGTGCAATATGTATACATGATCGGAACGAGCAATATGGTAAATAAACGGATCAATATATTCATGGTGAATCGATTTTAAACATAAACTATATATAATATGAAATGCTCGAAAATGTTGTTTTTTTTCAAGAATGATATCCTGGCTACCATATGGACGACGACTTGGGTGTTTCCTCGATATTTATACCATTAAATCAAATATTACATAATTGATTTTTATTTTAAGTTTATCCAAGATAAATTCAAAATATGTTTTATTGTACTAATTGATTACGACAAATTACCATAGGTAGTCAGGCTGTCATTTAAACACACTCGCGAAGACATTTATGCGGACAGTCGATTATTGCTTTTGTTTCGTTTACATGTACTTTCCGTGTTTCTCGTTAGATCATATCTTGCACAAGGTCGGCGTAGCGATTTCAAACTTCCTGGGTTGTTACACATTCCTGCGTTGCTTGATGTTGTTACACTGTTTACACTCGGTAATATACATGAAATAAAATAAGCACGTTTACATGTATTAGAAATGCTAACGGTGTAGCGAGTGTTTTCCGTTTACTTCATGCAGATAAACAAAGGAACTGTACAAAAAGTTAAATAACCTCTGCATGAGTTTTCACATAACACAAAATTAATATTTTAAGCGAAAGAAATGGGGGCAACTATGCTTTTGAAAATTATTTACTTAAAGGACAAAAATGACAAAACATCGTAGAAAATGAAAAATTGGAAGGAGGCAGTAGCCGTAAGTAAATAAGGAAGATAGGGGGAAATACTTTTACTATATTTCCGCTTAGTGTTTTGTAGAAACTTTTTTACAGATTTTATTTAATTCAAATTAATCATATCATGACACCACTATTTTATTGTTTGAAATATAAATGTCTAACTGACTTTGTATTTTATCATTGTCCATATCTAAAGTGTCATATATCCAACTGATTTTTATGGCTAAAAATGACAGTTAACATGCCTCCTTTTTGTAACAATGTAGGTTGATATGTTTTAACTTTTTATAGCGGGGAAACATATAATTTAGCTGCTTATTTTCTATTTATCTTTGTCATCGGAAATAAAAAATGATGCTGCAGAATGGATATCAGAGAATCCAGTGAATGCGACAAAGCTTGTATATCTAAAAACACACTCTTTCTAATGAGAGAGCCTGTCGCATATCTGATGCATATATGATGCATAAGTGATCAAGATCAATGTTATGTGAATCAATAGAATATTAAAATGCACAAACAAGTTTAAAACTGAAATTAAGACGCAGCTGGAAGACGTGATATTCCCGGTATATCATGACAGCGCTTAATATTATTTTTATAATGTTCTTAGCACGTGGAAAAGCATACCGCTGGAATTTGGTGTTTTATGGCTATGTGTTTTCACTTAAACGTGTAGAAGCAGCAAGATTTCTCTCGTTTTATTGTAAAATTGTGTTTGAAATTAACAAGCTATAGTAAACCGACAGGTTAGACGTCGTCTAAGTGAAGTTGAGATGGACAGGGGTATTGGAGTGTTAGTGGCTGGCCGATCACAAAGGCACGTTGCCCATGTCCCTGGGATATCCCAGAGCGTTGTATCCAGGATGTGGAGCCGATTCCAAATGACTTGAAATGTCTTGCAGGGCCACGCCGGAGGACGGGAACGTCAACGACTCATCCCAGGACCGATTTATTGTGCTTCAGGCCAGGCGCCAGCGATTCTCGAACGCTACTAAATTACGTAACGACTTCCAGAAAGCAAATGGTGTGTGTGTAATCACACACACTGATAGAAACATGTTACATGATGCTGGGTTGATGTCACAGAGGCCAGAAATTCGCATTCCTTTGATACAACGCCATATTCTATTTTGCATTGGGCGCAGACTTCAATCACATGGACAGTTAATGTTTGGACCCCGGTCCTCGTCACTGATGACTCAAGGTTTTGTGTGGGCTTCAAGGACCGACAGACAAGGGTTTGGAGAAGTTCAAATGAAAGCTAAGCTTTAGAATGTGTTGCAGAACACGTCCGTTTTTGCGGGGTTCAGTCATATGTGAGGGGAATAAACGTTCAGGGGAAAACGGACCTACACATCATTGAAAACGGTACACTGACAGAAGTGAGATACGTCAATGAAATCTTAGACGTTCATGTACGTACGTACGCTTGCGCAGTCGGCCCTGATTTCATTCTTATGGATGATAACGCCCGTGTACACAGAACCCACATCACAAACCGATATCTTGAGGTAGCAACTTTAGTCCGTATGGATTGGCCAGCGATTTTCCGGATTGAAATCCAATTGATCATGCTTGGGATATGCTACAAAAAGCCATTTCTTCACGCCAGGGCCAACCAACAACAGCTCAGGAGCTAAGACATGCATTCATAGAGGAATTGGCCCAAATTCCTCATCACAAAGTCCGTAGGCTCATTAGCAGCGCAGCATGCAGCGGCGATGCCAGGCTGTATTTAATGCCCGCGGACACCGTACTCGGTATTAAACACCCTATAAGAAACATTTCCTGATTTGCAAAATTATTTTTATTCCACTATGTGATCTCCAAAATGTTGACGTTCGTCCAGTACACTCTTTCCGCAACAGACACACGTCAAGGAACACTTCCATTGTCATTATTGTCATAAAAAATAAATTCCTGACCAAATATATTTAATTCCTTTTAATCAATTTTCACATTTATTACAAATACATAAAAGTAACACACTGTAGAAAAAGTGATCCTAAGCAAATAAAAAGTAGTATAAATATAGAAATGATAGAATAAATACACACACGCTACCGAATCGATATGCCAGTCCAATTACGGCACAACACAGTGACTTTTAGAACAGTCGTGAAAGCATAGCCACCGCAAATCCACCATCACAAAAATGATGGTTTCAGATTAGCTTTATAAACAGTCACAAACTGCACTACACATTGAAACTGGCTCCTGGCTCACATTCGCATATATTGAGCTTCTTTATTACAATATAGGAGCATGTTTCAAAGATGTATGTTCTATATAATAGTTCTAATAATAGTAAAAACTATGGGTTTTTTTTACATCTTTGGTGAAAAAGTGCACCTAGTATCTTTTACGATCATATATTAACAAGTTATTATCTTACGCCGTTAAATCCATTTGAAAAGCATAAAAGACGGATTTGCGGATTTTTTCATGTTAACTCGTTAGGTCATCTTTATATTTTTCAATTGTATCTGTTTTCATATTTGATTAAATGAGTGTCGAAATACCTAACAGAAAGTGTTAATTATATACGATTTACTTTAATATTTAAAGTTTTTTTTTTCTTAAGTATTTGTCACGGCATGACCTTGATGTAACCTATGTTTGAAATGCAAGGACATACAGTTCTGACATTATTGTTATACTTTATCGGTGTATAATTGAGATAAAAGCTGAGTCTTTTTATTGTATGTATTTTATAATATAATAGATTTGTTCATGTAAACAATAATGTTTCGAATATGTACAAGCTCATAAAAATGTTTTCATTTCTATATAATATCAATTTAGTAAACATATTCCTACAAACGACTTGCAGTTTTCTTTTTAATCTTTCAACCCTTATATGCCATAAAATCATTTTCGTACAAAAGTATATTGCATATATGTTTAACCGGAAGGACAATTGATTAACTATCCATCCGTCTATCTGTCCGTCAGTCCGTCTTTCCGCAAAACCTCGATCTCGTGTAAACTCAAAAAGTACTGAAATTATTTTAGAAAACTTATTTTCTTCCTATCCATGAAGGAACTCGACTGAGGTCTAAAATCCATAAAACATAAAATTTGAATTTCTTAAATTGTTCAACCGGGAAAACAGAGAGAACAAATTGAAAATCGTATAATTGTTCTCTTCTTACCCGATTGGAGTAAATAATGTTGAAAAGCTTTTTAATTTTGTGTCAATTTTCACAATTGAAATAATAGTTCCTGATAAAACGGAGTGAACGAATAAACTGAAATATTGTTCTTGGTCTAAAACTACATCAAATGGAAAAATAATCTTTGGACAGTATTGTCAGTCCCAACATTTTAAAAACATTTACAACTGTTTTGAAAATTAAATGAAGTTGTTGCATAATCCAACCTCCTCACATGGAACAATCCAGCTTCCCTGACAGAATTCGAGTTCACGACGGCGATGAGAAAGTTATT